AGGAAAATAAACTTTCTTCTTTATGTACCTCCATTACTATTTTATTTTACCTCAAAACTGCTCAATCAGTTCTGCTCCACCCTATATATTGAGAGGTTGAGATTGTATTGACCTTTTAGGCAAGTAGAAAGATTTTCCACCCTAATACAAGTATTCTAATTAAAATATTTATTTTCAATCTTTAAATATGTGAATTTAAAACTAGAAACAAAACAATTAGTACAATTATAAGACTATATATAAAATAATTAAATGCAGTGAATGGATATAAAATATTTGAATTGTGCACATGTTTATTTCAAACAGTGTTAGCTTTTCTCATAACTATATATAAAATAATTAAATGCAGTGAATGGATATAAAATATTTGAATTGTGCACATGTTTATTTCAAACAGTGTTAGCTTTTCTCATAACTTAAGTCTCGTTTCAAGTGGTATGAGGCTTGTTTGGTTATCGTTCAGTTTATGTTTAGTATTGGTTTATTGGTCTGAATTAAATGGGAACAGTGCAGTCAGTCACTCAGTCACTACTTAGAGTCTGGTAGATTTATAGGACATAAAACTAGTAGATCTATTGATAGTGCTGTGCACTGTGCTATCAGCTACCTATCTGTTATGTGACTCTTCAATGTTTAGGATATCTGCATTCTTGAAGTGTTTTTGTATATTTAAGCAAGTTAAATGGTCAATATTTAGCTCATTACCTTGCTCCATACAAACTTTACAAAGCTAATGAATAGACTTGTCAATAATCATTTACCCAAAAATCCCTAAGTGGGAAACACCACCTTGGCCTGTTGGTCATTATTGAAGGCAATAAGTGCCCTTTTTAGCCATCCATTATGATCCATATACTGTTATTGTTAGTAGGCTAATTGCAACATAAAAAATAACACCTCAAAAAGACAAAACAGCTGAAAAAAATCAAAAAAATCAAATAAATGAAAAAAATCATGAAAAAATTAAAAAAATCATTGATTTTTGATTTTTTAAAAAAATAAAAAAAATCGCCAACCCTGAAATGCGCTAAAAAGAGATCTGGGTAAAAAACCATCGCTGTGAGTCGTGAGCTGCACGTGTAGTGTACAAATCGTTAAACAAACGTTCGAACTTCAACTTCGGACTGCTGCCCCCTTATCGCCCCCCTATCGCCCTTTTCTTCTTTACCGCCCCCCAAAATCTTTCCACCGCCCCTAGGGGGCAATATCGCCCACTTTGGGAACCACTGGCATAAAATGTCAAAGTGTACAAAGTGGGGCTAACCTTTTGCGTTGGTGCAAAAACATGTTTTTCATTTTCTCCATTACTAATTACATTTTCACTACAGTCTATTGTATTTTGATTATTGAGACCAAGATGATTTGTTTGCAACCATTTGCACAATCAAACTTGCAAAATTCGATGTGTTATGATGTTTTAAAGGCGTGGGCTAACTTTTGCGTCGGGCTGTAATCTAGCAGGATGATCATTGTTGACGGTAACCGAGTCCGACTAGGCTAATCGATTGTCATCTGTATATTTAGTGCAAGAGAATGATTAATTATGTTGTTTCTGATAGAGGTTTGAACTATTCTTTTATTCAATTTTTTTATCAGTTTGAACTATTTTTTTATTTACTTTTTGAACTATTTTAACATTCAAACAAATTATTTTGTTACTTTGACTTGGTTTATTCATGGGAAATAGTCAAATGCTCATTAGGAAACACTTTTGAAATGAATAGAATGTTTATTTATATCCATAAGAGAGATTAAACAATTGCAAATCAATTTATTATCCTTTAAATAAAAATCTTTGCATAAAAACTCTTGGACGATGTATTTTTTGTACACCATATATTTGTACACAATATTTGTACACCATTAATCAGCATTATCAAGAGCCTAATGTCAACCGATCATTGGAAATGACCAACTGATGGCCAACTGATTGTTGGCCGCTACCGTCAACCGGGGCAACTCAGGACTGGCAGGGCAACTCGGGACGCACCTCCGGCACGGCGTAAAACTGTTACAGTAGCGAAACTCATTGGAATATTGCAAAACTAAATATAGTGGTGTAAACGTCAACATTTTTCCTATCTATGTAGTATAAAGGCAGTCGAAAAATATGACATTTACTAGCCTTGAAAAATTGCTGAAAAAAAATGGTGAAAAATGCTGTTTTGAAAAGTTACTTCTGCTAAGGTCTGTAGAAAAAACTATATTCGGCGTATTAAAAAATGTTACTTACATGAAAGTTGCACCCAGGTGTCGGCTTGAAAACATAATTGGCAGATTTTGCCTATCTCATTCCAAAAAAAATGGCGGCCATTTCCTACTTATCAAAAAATTTGTGCATCATCAGTCATCACAAAATTGTGCATAGCATGTCATGTATAGAATTTTGCACCAGGCATCATAGAATGAAAAGTAATTGACCTAAACTACGATTTATTTCTCCAAAAGATACGTTGGTTGTCACTAAAATATTCCTTTCTGTTTCAGGTATGTTTTTCACGAGACTTAAATTCATACTCATAGTCATAGGTGATCTTGAATTTGTGCATTGCATTATGCAATTTGTAAAACTATAAATTCTAAATAGGTACAAAATTTTTCAAATTAATTCTGAAAGCGTAATGTCTATTGAAAGCATAACGTCATTCACATAAAAAAACAACGCATTTTTTCTTACAGCTCCTATGATGATTGACGATCTCACTCATATAGCTAAAAATTTTAAATTGATCAATTTTGTCATTTTGAAGACTCCATTGATTACAGAACTTTAGTTTTTGCAAGTGTAGTCAAGAATAGTTTCTGAAATAGTAGGGACATTTCCATTATGATTCTGAAATATAAGTGTCATTTCCATTCCTATATATAAACAGGATTAATAAAATACCTATCAAATCCATTCATTGTCATTCAATTTGTGATGTATGAATGACAGTTTTACTTTCATTCCTATTATGCTTATTTTTACTGGTTGAAGCTGTAGAATTAAATTGAATTTATAAAATAAATTTTATTATTTAAAACACTAGATGGTACATGCTGTAGAATTAAATTCTACTAGAAAAATGTGGAATTAAAAATCTGATTAAATTTTTTAAATTAGAAATTAATTTTTATTAAATTAAATTGTATTATTGATGCACCTTATGGTACATGTTCTATGTTTTATATAATGAAAGTTACCTCTTTTAAACAACGATCATTTTCTAAAAGACACAAAAAGTTCAAAAACTCGTGATGGCAGACGAAATCATTCAAAATTTGAAGTGAAATTATTATGATAAAGTCAACATAATAGGGCAAAAAATGGAAAAAATTCAAATCTGGAATGTATCTATGGGTTTTTGTAATTTAAACAACTTTCAATCATTTAAATTTCAGTATGGAATGTGGATCAAGTCTAATTATTGTGAAATCGAACTTGACATGAACAAAAGAAATGTGTGTGACACCGCCATGTCAAATGTAATTGTAGAAGCACGATGTGAACGTACACCTTGAAAAAGTTACAGTTGATCTCATAATTTTGTGTGATATCAAAAACTTTGTTGTTATTGTCCAATTGTGAGAATTTTTTGCAAAGGTGGATGTGTTTTTTTTTTATTTTAGAACATATTCATTGCAAAAATTTGTCAACTAGCCTACAGATAAACGAATAGTTAACTTGATTGAGGGAGGCGTTGCCAACGAGTGATTGGATTTCAAACCAAGCGTGATTTTGGAAGCACGGCAGTTTCTAATGAGCTCAGTGTCAGTGTATCAATTTTCGCTGCAGTAGAAAGTGGTGTAATGTGGTAGGGTAGGTTTTTCGATACATTTTCTTATGTTAACATGAGAAAATATTACCTATACAGAATTCCACACTGCTCAGCATGGTGGAATTCTAGAAAATGGTTGGTCATTTAGATCCACCACTGGCTCTTACAGTCATCCAGATTTGAAAGTAATTTCTAAAATGCAATAATTTTAATCCAAACGTGTTGGCAAGATCTTCTGAAAGGCATAACTTTTGCTGCTGATGTGTTGACAATAATCTTTTGATATTCACCCACTTTCTGCACCCTGGCATCACGAGGCTCACCAGCATCCTAATAAACAAGATGACAGTGTCAGCCAATAGCCCAACAACAAAAGTTTAACGGAGAAAAATTTGAACATCCAAAGAAATTGACTCACTGAAGTCAGATTTTGAGTCATTAAAATGCCCATAAAAATATTGAAAATTTATGTTTCTGCAATCAATAATACTATGTTAATTGATAGATATATCATGTCAATAAAGGAAAAACAAGTAAAAATCACAGAAAATGTCATTTATTCTACATCTACATCATCTACAAAGATTCAGATTGGTGTTAGCGATAGATGAGCACACTCTGCATGCTTCAAACCTTCTAAAATTAGGTTTTATTTCAAGTGTCCTGGATTATCCTATTCCTAAGGGTAATTTGGTACATTTTTTTGCATTTAGCACCTTACAAATAGCATATTGACTTTTTTTATGATGCCATATAATAGCCCTTGCAAAGAGCTATAAAATGAGCCCAATCTTGTTTATGAAATGTTTTATGGTAAGAAGTTATTAATAAAATGCTCAAATCCGTCCCTTATTACCCCATTTGACAGTATATGTTCCATTTCAATTATTTTGACACTTTTTTTCAAAATAGATCTTACTGTGCTAGTTCAGATTTATTTACATAGCATATATATACATATTATTCTGGCAGTAGGATGCTTAGGATCAATTTAAAATCAGTGTAATCATCAATTTGTGTACTTCATAATTGTACAGCAAATTAAATAATAGTGCAAAATGAAGCAATTAGAGTAAAAGTGTTGAAGTGTTTCTAACTTTCTGTCAATGTTGTTCTGAATTAGCACCTTCAATGTTGATGAAATTACAGTAATGTATGAAATTTAAATTATTTTCTTAGCAACCTGGGATATTTTATGCAGTTAGCAACCAACTAATTAACCTGTTTCGAGTTGCTTTCAAGGTTTTGCAAAAGTCTGATGAATTGTGTATTTGGCTGATTCAATATTATTCTCAGATTATGGACTCTTAGTCACCAGATACAGCCATTAATATAAGAAGTTCCACACATCAAATACTTGATAGAAAAATAAATTAGAATCCTTTTTTCTAATATTTGATTTTTCAAAAATGGTACTCACTACAATCTTGGCAAGAACTTCAGATGGACTTCCACTGGCTGCTTCTACACAAGATGAACAGGTAACTGTACTGTTAAACTGTTGTACACTTGTACTAAAAACTAAACTGTAAACTAAGTCTGCAGATGTCAACTTCATGCGTTATAATTGCATTTTGAGCCTTTATGGGTTCTGTGATGTTTAGCTGTGTTTCGGATAGACTTTTAACTTTCTGCAATGGTATATGTCTCTAAACCAGCCATCCACTCTCAGATTCTTAATTCTAAATGATATGTTTTATATCTTGTTGGTTTTGAAATCTATTATTGTATGGAAACTAATTGTTCCCTCATTTCAGGTCATGTTTTAGTGGTGTCCACTTACATCTAGTTAGTCGATATTAATTTGTTTTCCTCCTTCAACAGTCTGGCCGAGAAATGGTTGACTACCAAAATCAAGCTAAGATGTTATTCAAGAAGCTCACTCCCAACAGTCCCACCAAATGTTCTATAGCAACTGGCAACTATATATATCAGTAAGTTCCATTTAGTCTTAATTGCTTGTTTTGTTTCTTCATGAGAGTTCAATAATTCAATGGCAGCAATAGCATATTATAAAACCATAATATGGCCAGCAAAGACCAAAATCACTTCCTGAGGTTAACCGTACTACCACGTTTTTCTTTTTTTTTTTTTTTTGCATTCTGGTTTACTATATAGACATTTTAGGTACTAGTGCATCTATGGTTTCATTGAATTTCTTTGATGGTTTACATCTGTTAAATTCGATTATTTTGAGATTATCTTCACCAATTTTTCATGAGCTCTTTTTGGTGTAAAAATTTGAGCTGTATTATTAATTGTGCAGTTACTTGATTGAAGGAGAAGTTTGCTACCTCTGCCTGTGTGAGCAGAGCTTTAGCAAGCGGACAGCATTCACCTATCTTGAAGACTTGGCACGTGAGTTTGACAAACTCTATGGCAGACAAGTGTCAGCTGCAAGAAGACCTTACAGCTTCATTGAATTTGGTCAGTATTAATTCTATCTCTTTTTCCCCAAACAATCTTGCACCAATGCTTATGCCAAGACCGAATATATTCTTCTTTTATGAACCCAATTACCTTTATTGAGGGTTTGGTATCATTGTATCTTTTGGTTATTTTATCTTTTAAGACTAATCTTGCATATAAATTATTTTTATCTTACGCACTTACCAGAAGAATTTCTAATTGCTTCTCCAATTAAGCTTATTTATGTAAATAATTTTTAATGTTGAAATTTGTGCTAATTTCAAATATATGTCCCAAATTTTTGTTTCAAATTTGCTTGTGAATATCATCTTTGCCTTTAATTTCAGGTTGACATTTTCATGTATGAGATAAACATGTTTTTTCTGAATAATTTTGATTACAGTACCAATCAATTTCATTTGGGCATGAGTCTACTTGCTCTTACTGAAGCGTTGCCTTTGAAAAAAATGTTGAAATGATGGCCTTTTTCTGTCTTGAGTTGGTGTGATTCAAATGTTATCTGAAGCAGAAGTAATCCACTTCATGTAGTTAGCTTACAGTATAAGGTATATTTTTATCCAGACCTTTACATGAGCAAGGCCAGGAAGCAGTACAGCGAAGGCGTTGGACGTCGCCACATGTCACAGCTCCGTGATGACTTGAATGATGTGCAGCGCATAATGATGGAGAACATAGATGATGTGCTGCAGAGAGGGGCTGCTCTACAAGGTGAGGTGTAGTGTGATGTGCAGCGCATCATGATGGAGAACATAGATGATGTGCTGCAGAGAGGGGCTGCTCTACAAGGGCGAAAAATATAAATTATCTGATGTAGAAAGAAAGGCTATATATACTCTTAAAGTGAGTTGGATGATGTGCAACAGAACTTTCAACCATTTCTGTTCTTAATGCTGGAATTATTTCAGCATTATAATTATTTTTTCTTACTAAGTGAAGTTGAATTAATGAGATTGTTTCTTAACCCATAAATCAATCCATGTCTCCAATGATTGATTTAATGGCCAATTATGCTCTACAGACCTGGAGACAAAGGCGAGCGGGCTGTCGGCTGTGTCACAGAAGTACCGCAAGGACGCTCAATATCTCAACCTGCGCTCTACATTTGCCAAAGTTGCTGCTGTCTCAGTACTCGTAATACTTGTTCTCCTCTATTTCTTTGTCTTCTGAGTGGACCACTTATAAAACTAGCATGATTTATAAATACGTCCTGCCGTGCATTTGGAAATTTATTCTAATGAAACCTATTAGGAATTGAAAATGAAAGATGCATGAAAGCTTTGCATGGTTCCAGTTTATCAAAATTATGACTTTCGTTAATTTCTATTCTTTTTTGATGCCTTGTATTCCAATTTTTTTTTAAATCAAACTCTTCACGATTGTAGCTCAATACATTAAAGAGTTTCATGGTTTCATTTAACCAAAATTGAGTCATTCTGGTTTTATTGAAAAACCTGTGCTGTGAGGGGATCTGTGCTGTTGAAAAGCAAGGATGATAGGTTTTTCCTAATAAATGATTTACTTCAAACTTGGAATCTAGCAAATTGAATTGGAACTTGGAGCAAATTTCAGGAAGAGCTTTAAAGATACGCTATTTGTCACCGAGTTGAAAAATTATGTTCATTTTTGTAATTTCTATTCAGTTTGTTGTAGCTCGCAAAGGCTATTTACAATTTCTTTAGTTTTTGTAGACTTAGGATTCAACGTAATTTCCCGATATTAACGCTAGAAGGTTTAAATACATGAAGAGTTTGTTGGTTCCTTCAGATGACATTCAGATGGTGAAGTGTTGGAGCAATGTTGCCTGAGGACTGATCTCTCAGGCGAGTTAGAGAATTGGGTGAAATATTCTTATATTTTAAAGGTACTATTCGATATTATGGGGTATTGCAGTGGTGGACTTTGATATAATTGTCTAATACAATTAATTAGCATCGGTTCGACGATGTGGCTAAGGCGCAGGCACTGGAGTCGCACGTTAATGTGTCCTTCCTATAAATCCGCCTTTTATTATAAAACAATCTGTAGCTTCCTTCTTTAAACTTGTTGCTGGCACGACTTTTCCAGAATAAGTAAAAGATTATAATTTTGTAGTATCTATATTTTTTACGGTTTACTTGTTGTTGGAACCAATGGAAGTATATGATTTAAATAAAATTTTAGTTCCGTAACGTTTTATATTTATTCATATGAAAAACTTGTGTAGTTTCGCCGTCATAATGTTTATCTTCATCTAACTATTCAGTGAATGGAGTCAAAGTGATACTTTTATTCTTACGGATATATTAACAACAGATCTTTATTACTAGTGTGTAAAATTGATCTTCAGGTAACAATGTATCTTTTAAAATTACATTCGATTATTGTGGGTGCAAGTTTTTTTGGCTTCGGAATAAAACTGACTGAGATGAGTTGATATTAATTATTCTAGCCCCCGAACCTCAATATCTGAGATTTCAATGATGTGACAATTGTTTTGTAGTCTTTTCTACTTTTTTGTGGAAATTGTAGTCACTGTTTTCTGAAGTTCAGTTATCTTCTGCGAAAGATGGCATAGACTTTGTTCGACATGAATTTCTAATTTTAACTAAGACTCTTCAGAGGAAACTTAATAACCTCGGAATCAAGAACGAAATTCATCCTGTCAACCCAGATAAGGTAGTTTTTTATTAAGATATAGTGATTTTTTTTGTATTTTTCAAATTTCAAGAAAGTTATTACTACTTTTGTGCACGTTCCATGACTTCTAGACACGTCCCATTAGTTATCATAATAAGACTTATATTAATAACTATAGGTGTAACGGCCATCGACCACATTCAGGCCGAATTCTTTCCCGGCCGCCCACTTGACCTCGCTTGCTCGCAGTTCCTGACAAGCGTCCTCCAGACCCACCACCCTTCTTTTCCGCTTGTTTTCGCTCCTCCTGGTGAAAGCTTTGCTCATAAAGGTAAACTTTCGCTCACCTCTTGGCCCCTTTAGTGGAAGACGGCTGCCTGCCAGCGTGCTCCTATAGAATAGAATAGAAATGTCGGCGTTGAAGAAATAGGCCCATGGCCTGTTGCCGATTCTTGAACTTTTCGTGACTTGATTCACAAGGGATCCGGCCTTTGGAATACGATTTTTCCATAGCTGACGATTGATTGCTCCTATGGTGAAGCCAGGCGAAACCTTCGCTGGAGAATCGCCTCCCACATCGCAGCAACAACCGAGGATAACAGGGTCCTGGCCACCCCACCTCTTCCCCCATTGCCTCCGAGGAAACCTTGCTCCCTTGCCCCGTACCGTTCTACGCTGGCTCGCAGCTGTTGGGCTTTTACAGCCACCTTGCATCCTACAAGTTTAGGGTGGGACGCTCCTCAAGCTCGGCTTGTCTTTAGTGTGGGGACCCCCACCACTCGATGGAGCACCTCTTCTGCCCGTCCTTTCCCAGGGTCCTCCCCGTCTCCTGCCTATCCGACGGCCCTCTCTAGGCTACCTCCTTCCTAGCGTCCCTCCCGTCATTTGCCCACCTGCTTCTTCTCGCGGTCGTCTCCTGGGCCGCCTCATCGACGGGCGAGGGGGAGATTCTCGACACAATAAACAACAACATGAATCAACGACTTTCCACGAATTCAGGGAAGTTTCCACGAATTCAGGGCTGTCCCAAGAGACTTCAGGAATGGTTCCAATTCTCCAAGGCTGATAACACGACCTCCGAAGACGCGTGAATTGTGTGCTCACCAGTCTGCTAATATTTAATTTCGTTGTTCGCTTGTCTCACATAAAAATTAAGACGTTTTGAATGACGGTGGTGAAGTCTTCGAAGAATATCTCGTGCCGTGCACAACATTACATTACGAGGAACCCTGTAAATAACATACTTATTTATCAATACCTATTACAACTAATGTAGTACAGGGATCTGGAAAAACGAAAAACTAGCGTAAACGTTTCTTCAAATGAAATCATAGTTTTGAAATCATTCCAATTGTGAAATTGACAAAAGCTAGCCACAAACCTCTCATAAGCAAGCGATAATACATCGCAAAAGCAAAATGGACCGTAGTCCCTCCTGAAGTTAACAGAATTTGAATGTTTATACAACTGAATTCTGGCAGATGTGCAGCAGTTTCAATAGTGTGAAGTATTTACATATCGTTTTCACAAATAGAAGAAGATTAAAAAATAGGTTTGGTTGAGACTGCGATTGCTTTGAGGAAGAAATCGGGACGCAAGATGCTTTCACAGTTGTGCTCATTGTTAGTTGTTACCCAATGATCATCATTCATTTCGGCACACACGATGGCGAAAAAGAATAGAATAGAAGTGACGGCACTGAAGAAATAGGACCATAAATAGGATCCGGCACTGAAGAAATAGGATCCGGCCTTTGGAAAAGGCCAGATCCGAGATCAGGCTGAAAATAGCTGGAATGTCTACTGAGCTGGCCATCGGACAGAAGATGCTCTGGATCATCCGGAATGAAGAGATGCTGGAAGGACTGTCGGTCTCCTCCAGTGCAGGGGACGCTTGAGGCATCCACTCGATGCATGCAGGATGTTCGGGAACTGCAGTGGCCCAACTGCAGGTGCGCTACCCAAGCGATCGGAAATGGTCGCTCAAACTTGGACCCAATTGATACCAACACTTCGCCTTTCCGCAGACGTCGGCAAGAATTATACCATTCACCATGAGAGGACTTCGAGGACTGTCCGAGACCGGATTGCGGCTTTTGAGGTTTTTTTTTCTATGGAGGAGCGGAAACATCGGGAAGGAGGAGTGGTCGGCCAGGAAGACGCTGGCAAAGAGCAGCGAACACACAAGGTTCATGTGAGTAGACTGGGTAAGGACGCATCTCGGGATTGTGATGAACTCTGTATATAGTGTATAGTGTATACCATCCCGCGGCAGCCGGAGGCAATTCTCGAGGCGGAGTTTTGGATGGTCTGTAAGTTCGCGGAAAACAATGCAAGTGGGGACAGAGTAATAAAGAGTCTTAAAGATACGTTAGTTTATTACGAATTGGATGCTTGATTATGCTGTAAGTGGACATTATGCCCTCTTTGAAGAAGGCCGCCAATGTTTACAGTCCGAGGCGGCTGGCGCAAGATGCCAGCCACCGCAATGGTTATGTCCTTGGCATGAACGGTGAAGGAATAGTGACTATCTCACAAATCACCAGGATGTTTGTTTACAGGAACCTGGTTGTTGCCGAAAATACCAAAAGGGTAATTCGAGACTGATTGGGTTCAAGGGTGAGGAAGCGTGACAGAAGACTAGCAATATTTGAAGTAAACTGCGAATGTTTATCTTCATGGCTTAGGAACAACTTTGAAAAAATAATCAGTTCCAGTAAGAGAAAGCCGGGTCTCCGTGTCCGGTAGGGTCGTACGGTGCGCCGGACGAAGTAGCAACTTCTTCGTACGGCGCTCCGGACCGCGACGAGAAGAATGTTCCTGCGTGCAGAGGAGTGGGGCTGTGGGGCACGAACCTGGGGCGTGGGGCCCACTGTACTGTTGCTGCGGGACCTGCGAACACAAAAAATAATCAAGCTTTTTGTCGTGACTCTCGTGAGATAGATAACTACGGGTCAATAATCCATATTAATTCAAAACTGAATCCTAAGCCGCATGACAGTTAAACCAAGCATGGAGGAGCTTCTAGAGTGACTCGAATTCGTAACTCGTGCTATCGTTTCTTGTGAAAGTCATAATCATTTTTATTAAATCCCCAAGTTCGTTGAATACCATTTTTTTGTAGCTTCATGTAACCTTATTACTATAGCTAAAATTTAACTATTTACTTAGATGTTCACTATTTTGCAATTGTAAATTTTTAAATAAAATATCAATTTTCAAGCTCGAATAATAATCGGGTAATTTCTGAATAATACAAATTCAGTAAACGACAAAAATACTTTTAGGTTCATGAAAGATCATCCAAAAATAGTGAATTCTGTTTAGAATGCGCCAGTGGGCAACATTAGCCAGTCATGCCTGATAAAATAATAATGATTGTTGATGGACTGGGAAACCACGACAAGCTTTACGTTCATTGGGTTTGCCGTAACACGGCCTCCAAATCTGAAAAAAAAACAGAATCATAGAAAAGTGCATATAGAATCAGCCCATCGACGATTTATTTGAGCTACAATCAGACATCTGGAAGTGAATGTTTTATTGTTTTTCCCGATATCCCAACTAGAGACAGGTTCGTCGACTACGTCGGCATCAGTGCTGCAACTGCTTCATCATCTAAAAAAAAGTAAGACGGCAGGATATATGGATAGGAATGACGGCATAGAGCTGACGGTGTTGGTGACGTTACGCGTGACATACAAGCGCTTGTCCACGTGTGCGTAAATTCTAAATCAAGTAAACCCAGAACATTATTTTTTTCAACTCCTCTAAACTTTTTTGAATATATGATTATAAGAACATACAAAATCCTCTTAACATTCAGAATGGATTAGTAATTCTCTATAAAGACCGTCTTTTTTTATATCTCCATATTATTGCAAATTTTTTCAACCAAAAATTGTAAATTCATATCAGGCATTGTGAATACGTTACGCAACAGAACCAACACAGCAACGCAAGTGCGAAATATTTTTCCTTAAAATAACTTTGTCTTATATATTATTTTTTTAATCAGACGACTAACTTGGGTTACTAATTCGGTGAAATTGAATCGGTAGCTACTGGATTTACTATGAGAATTCGTAGCCACCAGTCTTCTATTGGTATCTACATTCTGCTTAAATCACAAGTTAACCAAGAACTTAAAATCAAAGAAAACGAAATCCTTTATACAGCCGATTAGTAAGGTGATATACAACTAATATCTTCGGCAGCGCAGCTACTTTGCTTGCATTAAAAGAATACTACTAACTGTACATTGGAGACTGTACAAACACTTTAACGAAGCTTTCATAAACACCCCTCGTGCACTTTTACTACCGGACTCACGGACGGTACGTTCAAAGTTTCAGTGTGCCTAAAATATCTTCGGGAAAATCTTGGGCACTCTTTGAGTTTAGCGGGAAAATTGTGGACGCTCTCTGAATTAGGTGGGGAAATCTGGTGCACTCCTCGAGTTTAACTGAAAAATCTGGTGCACTCGTTGAGTTAAACGGGAAAATTAGATACACTCCTTCAGTTTTGCGGGGAAATCTTACTCCTTGAGATTGGCGGGAAAATCTGGTATCGTGAACAACCCACGGTACGACGGCAACAGTCAGTCGCAGTACCTCCACCAAATAAGCGTATACTTTTTTTGTCGACACATTTCTTTTATGATTTAAATTTTGAATTAATAAAACGAGTTCTCTAACCTGAACGTCGTGCGATGTGGTTAACGTCGTGGTGGTGCCTGCCAAACGTTGTGGGGTGATGGGCGCCGTCGAACGCGAAGATTAGACGTTGTCCTGGGCTGACCAACGCCACCGTCGCTGCGTCACTAACGCCTGACGTAAGCGTGACGCACAACACGGAATAAAGTGTGACGTAGCGCAGGCACAGAGAAATCATTTTGTTTATTTGCAGATTAATGAACAATGCACGGCCTCAAGCAAATATCCACTCCTAACCTCTTACAATCAAACGGTAATAAATTAATAACACATACGTATTCACTCCATAAAGAATGGAATACCTTCTACGTTATGATAGAAGCTTTCTATGAGAACTTCAGCTCTTCTCCTATATATCAGATATTCTCCCAACAGATATTTCATCTATTAAATCTTCTATCCATCAGATCTTCCTCCAGCTCATTTTCTATACCAAACATTAAACAACCACTTTAAATTAAATTAAAATCAAACCACTTTGCTAGGTTTCACAATTATTTGAGCTGGAATATCCCATACGGATTGTTAGAGTTTGCCCTGCAAAATGAAGTAAGAAAAAACAAATCATTCAAATTTTATACGTGCATACCTCCATTTATTTTCACTATAATGTCATTATATTTATGAGCCCAATTTTGCATTGCCTTTATATCTCTCTGCACCTGGGCACCTGGACTGCTATTCTATCTGCACTGCCACTTTTATTGGTACGTATAAGTTTGCTTAAATCGTAAGTTCACCTTGAATTAATAAGCAAAGAATACCCCCGTAAACTACTCTTGTCTTCAATTAAAACGTTTTCATCAGGATAGGATTAATTTAAAAGAAAATAGTTCTTATAGAAACAGAATAATTAAGCTATGTTTAACTATGGTAAAGTAATATCTTTAGTTAAAAGGCAGATAGATAACAGCCTGTAACCTCGATACGACATACATTATTATATACATACATATACCCTCATTCATTTTCACTACTGTCATTCAATTCTCGAGTTCAATTTTACACCACATTTGGTTAATCATTGAACCTGCAAACATGTTATTAATTTGAGAAAATGCGAGATGAACAACTACAGTCACTAACGAAGGACACGTTTATCTGGACAGTCACTAGAGAAAATAGGAGAAAACTAGTACAGTTAATAACGAAGGACAAGTAGATCTGAACAGTCACTAGAAAAAATAGGAGAAAATTAGTGCATTCACTAAAGATGGACATTTTGACAAGCTGATGTGTAAGTTGTATACCTCACGAAGCTAATAGCTTGTAAAAGTGTCGCTAAACTCGAAGAAATTAGTTCTAGTTCTATCTTGAAATGAACCCTTAAGGGAAGCAACACAAGAAAAGATGTTAAACCCGTAGCAGGAAACGTAGAAGTCATTCAGTGAAATGATACTACATCTGGGCCTACCCGTTATCTTATAACCGTTATTCTCGCTAGTGAGAGTTCCACACTTTTTTGGAATCTTTCTTGTCGTTTGTTTGAGTTGGACGTACTTTTGGACACGTTTTTCGTTATTCCAGGACACAACAGTTCCAAATGATTCCTTTTTTGTCTAAAAACTTCTTTTTTTGCATTGCCAGCTTAAAAGTTTAGGACATATGCAGAAGTTGAACATGGACAAACCGGTTTGTCCAACCTTGAGTCGCCTCCTTCAGGCCCTCAACTACCCCAGTCGGGAATTGTAAATACAACGCCCGCGCTGGAATGGCTTGAAGCATCATGATACGATCATGGTTCTTATACTGAGAATAATCACTTTCTTATCATGTTTGGGTTTGCTCACAGTGTAAATCTACCTGACAATGATTGCATGATTCTTAAATTGGTAAAATAGACCTGAATATCACCTTATGGTCTGTAGATTTATAGTACCGTATAGCACGTAAGATTGGCCCTATAGGCACGAGGTCATGTTGCATCACTGGCTGGCCCAGACGCAAGTTGACCAACATGTTTATTGCAAATCAATTCAGTGGGTCAAATAATAGGAGGTAATGAATCAGATTCATAATGAGGTATTAATTTGTAAATATTATTATAGTAATGTTTGTTAATTCGATAGCGTTTGGTAAATAGAAAAATTTAAGAATTTTCTCGCCGCAATTCAAAATTATACCCATTTTTTCAACACTTCTCTTCAACTTTACTTTATGTTTGTTTGTCTGTCTGCTATGAATCTTATAATCAATATTTAAAACTCTTCTACCTCTCCAATCGATCTGAAATTTTGCACACTTGCGTAAAGTCAGAGACAATGCTTGAATCAATTGACAGAATCAACAATTTTACAAATTAATATTTTATATAAAATATATTTATAAATATATATATAATATATAAATATATTTATATATATAAATATATTTTCTTAATATTTATAAATAAATGAGAAATTTATTGTACATGTGTAGCATCGGACACAATGGCCTCTTTAGAAGTGTTGTCTTTAAAAAGTCATTTTTAAACGCATATTATTCTTCTGATGGTGACGTTGGCACAATATTCTGATACTACTAAAATTAAATTTGGTTCAGAAACAAATTTAGTTATTTTTTTTCAACTGACTTTGAAAAATGAATCTTGGTAACAAAACAGAGTTCATATTGCAATACAGTGTCGATTTGCAGTTAAATTAATGTTTCTAGAGAATTTTTTTCTCGCTGTTTCGGCAGGGTAGGCAAAACCAAACGTCCCCCTCGCTCAGCCGGGGCCGCGTGCGAGCGACTACGCCGGCTCACGTCGACCGAAAATCCCTGAACTTGTGAGAGCCTTGACTCCTTAGACATTCAGCCTTGACAAGATGAGAGCCTTACTCCTTGAATATTCTTACCGAAATTTGTAAGAGGCTTGACCCTTTGGACATTCTTACCTAATATTGCGAGAACCTTGGCCCTTAGGCATTCTTAGTAAACTTGTGAGAGTCTTAATTGACTCCTTATACATTTNGAATAGAGTAGAATAGAATAGAAGTGTCGGCACTGAAGCAATAGGCCCATGGCCTGTTGCCGATTCTTGAATTTTCCGTGACTTGATTCACAAGGGATCCGGCCTTTGGAACCCGATCTTTCCATAACTGACGATTGATTGAGATATCTGCTGGACTTATTGCCTGGTCCGCAATTTGCTAGGCATTTTAAGACTGAACATATGCTCCTGCATAGCTTCGTCTAGTCTGTTCTCGAAGGCATTCATACTCGGAGCGTCAACGGCTGTTCAGGGAGGCTGTTCCACATGTTCTATAAATGGAGCATGGATATTCCTTAAACTATGCTCAATCATTATTTTCGGTTATCATAACACACAAATTTGTGTTTAAATCCGTACTCTCACACACATCGCATCATCCTGAGTGCTGCAACGTCGAGCCTGCAGCTCATCGTTGAGGCTGACGAGCTTCTATTGTTTTATAGCTGACCAAGCGACGTCAAATTTACGAACCTGCAATTGTTCTGCAAATCAGACCCACAACATACCCATTGAATGAATATAACAATATAAAGATTAACAGTAATAGCAAGTAATACATTCCAAAGTTACCGATGAATAAAGTGTGATGGAGATCACTTGATTGCTTAAGCCACAATTTAGGGAGAGAATTAAAAACAAATAAAATTTCTGCCTACGGCCTAATGAGCGCTGAAACCGCTATTATTGTTGTTATTATCGACTATTTTACACTGGCGGAACATAAAGTTGGTTAACAAATGTGTTTTCGCTTCCACTTCTGCTGTTTCGGAATAGTAAATTTAAAAATCCATGAATATGTCTCAAACAAAGGTCTAACGCAGAGATTGCCATTAGTAAATAGCTTTATTCGTTAGAAATTGTAAAATATAAAAGTTCTCCTGCTTGTGTTGGTTTCAAGTTGTTCTGTCTTTCTCTTAAAAATTAGGTTTTAATATCTGTTCCATAAAATCATTTAAACAGGGTTATTCTAAATGATGGATCGAATTTAATAAATTCGTTTTGATTTTAAGTAGAATTAATAAATGAATAATTTATATACTAATGGAAATAGAAAGATTCAAGTATTTTTACATATTTATAAGTGTTCAATATATCTCCCTTGTGCTGCACGGCAAACATCTAAACGGTAGCCAAACTCGTCCCACACGAGAAAGCATATATATATCTTCTGTTACTGAGTGCACCGTAGCAGTGATACGGTTCTTCAGATCAACCAGAGTTGCTGGTAGAGGCGGGACGTAAACAGAGTTGCTGGTAGAGGCGGGACGTAAACAGAGCTGCTGGTAGAGGTGGGACCTAAACAGCTTCTTTGACGTAACCCCATAATAAATAGTTAATTGGGGTGAGATCAGGTGATCTCGGTTGCCAGAAGTGTAGAGCCAGTTCTTCATTTCCTATGCATCCTTTCCCATCCCTCATGAAGTGACCGATTCAAAAGGTTTCGGACAACAAGATGCCAATGGGACTCAGCTCCAGCCTGTTGGAGAATGAATTCCTGTTCATCTTTTATAAGTTGAGGGAAGAGTCACTGTTCCAACGTGTCCAGGAACAGATTCCAGTCACAGTTCTTTCTGGAAAAAAGGATGGTCCATAAACCCTTTTACGAGATAAGGCACAAAGCACGTTTACCTTTGGCGAGTCTCATTCATATTGTAATGTTGCTTGTGGAGTATGTAGACCCCATATGCGTACATTGTGTCTGTTGACTTTTCCAATGAGGTGGAACGTAGGTTCATCGCTATAAACGATAATGCTTGTACCGTAAAAGTTTTCGCAGAACTTTCCATACAGTTGGTTGGGGTATGCCATGTTCTCTACTAGCTTCCTTGACTGACTTGGACTAGCTGTGAACTAAACTTTTTTTCTATTCATTTTACGTCATTCTCAGATACACGCCTTCGGCCCTGAGCATTTTCCTTTACACACACTTCAAGTTTATTTAAATTGCGTGAACCGACGGCTAATGCTTTTCTTGTTGGTGCTTCAATGCCAAATTTGAGACAAAATGCCTGCTGCACTGTAACTTGCGACTCAATTCTAGCGAATTCAAGAACTCAGAAAACCCTGTGCTGCACAGTAGATATTCTGCAACAACCGCCTCCGAGCAATACCACCGCGTTTGAATAAGTTAAAAGAAAAATTGAATCTTTTATTTTCCCATTGGAGTACAAATAACTGATTTTGAATTTATACACAAATAAATACGAATCTATAAAATTGAGTTCATCATTTAGATTTTAGAATAACCCTGTATTTTTATAATTCTTATATCCCAGTGTCATTGAACAGATGATTAAGCTGACCTCTAAAGATATTTAGTGCCATTGTGATATTTTATCTAATTTTTGTATGTTCGAGTTGTGATGAGGAGGAAGTCAGTAAAAAGTTAAAATGTATTTCATTGGAACACAAATGGCGGCGGTACACCAGAATTTATTTTCTCCTTTGTTATCTCCCATGGACTGCTAAGCCTGATATTCAATAACTCTGCCATGACTGTAGACTGTAGAAAAAATAAATTATAATAATAATGTATAATAACGACTTGATATTTTTATGCATCACACTTCCTTCACTGTTACAAAGTATTTTTTGGCAAAAATGGAATTTAATTCAACACAGAAAACGAATTCCACCGGAAAATTAACGGAATTTAATTTAAATAATATTTATTTTTCTTTTTGAGCGCATAAAGTCAAAGTGAAAATGGTTTCTAGCTGACACCTCTATAGAGAATTGTCGCGTTCCGCAATATTCAGCAGCGTATTGTCTGAGGCAATGCTGTTGTAATATGAAGAAATGAGTTACACGCATGAAATGGAAACGAAAATCACGTTCCACTCTGATGTGGATCCAATACGATGACTGCTCGTGAAACCATTCATAACGACATTAGCATGCCTGTGCAAATAATCAAACCAATAAATTTAATACCAAAAAAATGTACATTAAAATTTATGAATAATTGATGATCTAAGTTAACATTAATATCGCGATTACTGGCATACTCTACTGAATTACTTTCTCGTAAAGTTCTCTTATATGGAACTTGAGGTCATTTTTTCAAGCATCACCTGAAATATCTACTTAAAATATTATGAACTAGACATTATTAAATCAACGTACTTGGAAGATTAGAGACTTGCAGAGAAAATTATGCTTTAGGGCAATTCTCACTTCGTAATTTTTTTCCTATTCTCTTATTTTTAACTTGCATAGCAACTCCATATCCACGTTTTAATTGCATCAGCCTCGTCGCTGATGAAAAAACTAGAAGTTGCTGAAAAAAAAAACATTTATTCTAAAAATGTACCTGAGCTAGGTGCAGATAAGACGTTGGATGCCAAGGGACGTTGCTTAGCGTCACTAAGCCGGGACATCTCCATGTTTTTGACGCATATTTTCGAGTTGCATTTATTTACTAAGCTGCGGATGCACGCACAGACATCGACTCCGAATTGAACAGTGTTGCCAGTGTCGTTCAAGCAGCGGTGAGGTGTGGTGTAGGATCTTGCTGCTGCTCGACTTCGAGGACAGGGTTTCGAGCTTTAAAGCAGATCGTACATGATACAAACGAGCTCGTGTTTTTCTCCATGAAGGCTACCAGTGCCGCCTCGTTCACCGAGTCTAATGTGAATGCGAATAAATTGCCTTTTTTGGACTCTGGAAAGGAATCAACCTAGGTTGTAATCTGGTCCATGTTAAGATGTTTCGCAGCTACCCACGTACGCGTGAGTGCCATCCTCTGGATGAAGGATCTGGTGTAAGATTTGCCGCGATCAAGTCGACGAAAATTCGACTACCGCCATCGGTTTCCAGCAAGGCAATGGTTGAAGTGTTTGTTACTTCTTTGCTTTAAAAAGCCGCATACTGACGTAGAACATCGTGTAGACGTGTACTGAAAGTATTATTTTTCTCAAATTTCCTCTGCTTCAAAAAAATGTTGCTAAAAAAGAAATAAAATATATAAGAGGAAATGCAAGTTTTAAATAATGTTTAAAAACATTGGTTGATTATTGATTGTAGAAATATCCGAGAAATATTTCGTTAGGCATGTAGGTACGCGGGCAGCGAAGGTTAGGAGCGTGGCAGGGTTCGAGACGACGCTGCCTACAGTCCAAGGATTATTGCTCGGAATATCGATGCGCACCAAACATTTAAATAATATTTATTTAAACACCGTCCAAAACAATCTCCGGTTCCTGAAGATTAAAAAATTCATGTATTGTGATGAAGAATTAGAAGGAATGTTACAAACATTTCCACCAATTCTTTGTAAGCTGTTACAATGATTTCAATTGCACACATTGATTGTTCATCCTGATTCCTGAATAAGTTATAGGAGGAGGGTAATATATAATGCCTTTTTTGGTAATTCTTTTTATAATAAGGTGTGATAATGGGCCGGAACCTGATAATTTGATGAATAATTTCTATTTATAACAAGAAAACTCGTATTTTATAGCATTGATGAAAGTTGACGTATCACATGGATATATAGGTATGAAGGTTTTGATAAATATGACACGTTGTTTGAAAAAATCGGTTTTTTATTATGAAATTAATGCTGGTGTTGGAATTCAATGTTCATCTTGCATCTAACTTGTTTCTTAATAAGTTAAAGACAAGTAAATTTTTCTCGTTTATATCATAGTCGTGGATAAATGTTTCATAATCAATCGTGAATACTGGAAATAACTTATAAAAGTAGACTGTTATGCAATAAATAAACATGAATTTTTATGCTAATGAATGCTAACTGTTTGGAAGTACCTATAATGGTAATCACTTAAAATTGAAACTGATCAAAATTTTACCTCCTTTTGCAGTGTGTTTAAAAAGGACCTAAATTATTTAATGATTTATTTAGAGTCGGCTAAAGACCAATCATGACCACTACACTGAACAGTGAAAGGAACCTTCGCTTCTGATGAATGTCTAGAAACTTTAATTCAATTCGAATTGTCGAAATAATTGTTTTGCATAGAGCAAGCGTGACGCGGTGCCTAGAATGTATTTCTAGTGAAGTGATTAGTTCTATGTTAATGTTATTAGGCAATATAGATAATGTTAGAAGTGATCATGTTGTTTAATAAAAGTAATATATTGCCTTTGTTATCAATCCACTTAAATATATCGTACAATATTGTCATAGTTTAGTAATGGATGTCGCTTTAAATGAATGAAAAGCGCCTAGTACTCTTAAATTAATGTTCGAAAAGACCGTTCAAGTAATGACAAATGATTGTACGATATTTTGATGAAAAATATACGAGAATTGAAAACTGTGAAAAATACGTTTTGTGACGAAACTTGAGCGCTTCCAGAAATTTAAGAAATTTTTACAATGTTGCCGGATTGCTTGTGAATATATCTTGAACACATTCATCAATAATTTAATTATCAAAACAAATTATTTCGATTAGTTCTACTAAAACATCAAGTAGTATAAAGGCTCACAGAAAATACTAACGAGATCGATCGCTTTCGCAAAGCATATCCAAGTGCATTGAAAATATGATCGATCTTCGAAACCACGAGTAACCAATGCCTTTCTATTCAATTGAAAATTGATCGAATATTTCATTGCATTCATAACTTATATGGATTGCGTGAGTTCTCTTGCTACTCTTCACTATAAAAAAATCGGTTGTAAATTATTACTTATTGATTTATTAAAAGACTTGTTCGCAAAGGAGTTGCAAAAAAGTATTTAAAGGTCATCGTTGCGCAGGTCGATATTTGGTCGTTTATCTGCCGTCGCAACCTAATGTTCTTTGTGTGTTCTCCTTACACGGTTCAGGTACAACAATTTTTTTCATATAGATAAACTAAACTAATTTTCGCTTTTGATGAAGCTAGACGAATTCTTGATGCCTGAAATTCAACATATTCCATCACTGCACCATCAACTCCGCAAAGAGAAGATGCTTCCTCGCCTAATACTTATCATTAAAAGAAAGTATAAGCTTATGTCGCGTGTCGCGCGCATATCACAATCCAGGCTTCAGTCGTGACTTAAGCTAAGCACTAAAGGAAGCCACCAGCTGTTTGTTCAGTATCAGGAAATGTGATGATGAATCACATGTTGATTGACAAGATTATGAACGTGTTTCTGCGGTAGGTAATTATTGCTTTAATAACATTCACGTAGGTTATGTGCCAAAGGTTCACTCCTTGCATGCCTTGATATTCTGCGCATCTGATTTATCGGGAAGTGTACATTCTGTGAACGTTATGCTACTGGATGCTGTTTCCGTGTCTTCAAAAATTCTTTAAAATTTAAATTTTATATGTGTTAAGAATTTATAGTTGACTTAATTGTTGTGCGAATAAAAAGCCACGTGACTGTCGACTTGAGAAAAATGACAACTCTGATATTGTTGGGATATTTTTGACGAGGATTAGCAGCCAAGTATTCGAAAATGAAAATTTTGCGTAATTTCGTTGATAGACAGGCCAGAGTGTCCAATGAGTTCCCTACAAACTAATATCTGTAAGCTGTACAGTTTATTATAATCAGCGAAATGCCTATGAAGGGAGTGTAGCTAATACACACATTTCCATGTCGCAATTGGAAAACGACTCCGCTTCTTATCTTCCGACCATGGCTTCCATTTCTTCAACTTTGGGTCTATTCAACGACTCACTGAACGTTTCGGACGTAGCCGCTGATCCGGGTTTCCGGAATCCGGAGATTCTGGCGACCACCTCGTCGTCCGTATTCGACAACGTCACCACGCAGTTGTCTAACTCTACCATCTCGTACGCTTCCTCGACCATACCATACGTAGTTCCCAGCAACCCATCCTCGTATTTATGCGAGAACAGATGGCTTCCAGTGAACCATATCTACTTTCAGCTCGCCAACGTCTTCCTCTTCCTATCCTACCTCGCCCCCAACGGCATTTACGGGATCCTGTACCTGCGGGTCACTCTCTGTGTAGGATGCTTCTTCTTCTCTCTGTGGGGGTGGGTGATACTCTGCGCCTTTGACACGTTCCTGTGGAACGCATTTTTCGTCGTCATCAACTTAGTGCACGTGGTGGTCATCTCCTACGGCCTTAGACCCATACGCTTCTCCGCCGAGCTCGAAGAGGTCAGATCTTTAAATTAATGTCGATGATTCATGGCAAAATAATTGTCTGAACTTGTTTTTTCCCATCAGATTAAATTCCCATTTGTTGGATATTTTTCTGGTCGATAAAAATTATTTATTTATTATAAGAAACCTTGAATTTTCGTTGATTTTCAATTAACGTATTTTAACGATGCCTTTTTTCTGTATTCAACTAAGGTTTCCGGTGCAAATATATTTAAATTGTTCAGCTTCATTCAGCGGGATCAACTTTCGCTGAGAAGAATGCTGGTCTCTGAACCCGATGTGTCTTGGTGCAATGAACAGCTCGACGTTACCTTGTGTGATGTGTGAGCTTCCTTGTGTGAGCTGTATGAGTGCATGCATGGGTTTGTGTGCGTGACGCTACTTGTATGATGCGTGAAGTTCCTTGAGTGAACTGTGTGCCAGTTGTGTGTGATTGTGAGTGATAAATCGAACTGCCCATGGTGTTTAAGCCATATCCAGAACTTGCATCTTAGCTCAATCTCAATCAGTTCATCCTTAATGCGCTGCACACTAGACATTTATTTAACTTGTCTTATTAACTTAACTTATTGTGCCTTGCAGTCAACCATATTATTGTTTTTCAAAATAATGATCGAAGGTTCTCAATATTTTTTTGCAGGACAGGTGTTTTTTTTAGATGAAAACCTTACAGCAAAAATAATTAACAGTGCGTTCCAATTTGTTTCAATTCTCGCTCGCGACATAAACGAGCAAAATTACGCTGTAGTTCTTGAGGGACTATAACTTACATCATCCACACAATATTGGAGTTAGGTCCGGAGGCGTTGTGTGAATATGAACTAATTCTCTTGTTTTCTTTATTAAACTAAATATTACGTCTGCACATCATGCCATGATTGTTGTATTGATCCGCGCACTCCATTACGGAATGAGAATGAATGCTGAGCTGCAATTGACAAATGGGGAACTTGCGTGTGAGACCACAGCACCACAGTAGAGTGTCTCCTGACATGTGTGTTACTCGGTGTGTATGTTTTGGGTATGTGGTGCATGTCTAATGGCATGTTGTGTCATGTGGTGCATGTCTAATGGCATGTTGTGTCATGTGGTGCATGTCTAATGGCATGTTGTGTCATGTGGTGCATGTCTGCACACCTCCCCTCACACACCTCCCCTCACACACCTCCCCTCACACACCTCCCCTCACACACCTCCCCTCACACACCTCCCCTCACACAGCCCTCACAAGACCAGATTTGATAGGCAGTCAGTCCAGATTTTCCCGTCGGTTGCCTCGGATTTTTTCGACGGTAAATCGACGGCGACGCCGGGGGCCGCCGCCTGAATTTTCAGTCCGAAAATGCTCGATATAATTCACAGTAACTTTATTTTAGAACGTGTGAGGGGAACTCGTGTGATGAGCATATACCGTATGAGGAGGAGGTCGTGTGAGGGAGAAGCTATATGAGGAGGAGGCCATGTGAGGGAGAAGCTATATGAGGAGGAGGCCATGTGAGGGAGAAGCTATATGAGGAGGAGGCCATGTGAGGGAGAAGCTATAGGAGGAGGAGGCAATGTGAGGGAGAAGCTATAGGAGGAGGAGGCCATGTGAGGGAACAGCTCACTCAGCTGATGGATGAGCACCATCATCATCACGCGTTTCTGATGATCCGTATTATGTATTTAATGTTATTCGATCTTAATATATTATATTCTTAATCCAAGACAATTATCTAGAACCACCGTTGGTTATTACATGTGGGCCTGTCATATTAAATCAACGCGTGATCACCCAACACTTGCGTCTATCAAGAACCGTTCTGAGACTCCAACATGACAAAAATATTAATTCAGAAGTAATTTATATTATAAGCTCGAACAAAGACAAACAAATTGAGTCCTTTGGCGCTTTCTTTAAATTTCACAGTCGTCTGCTATAAGTTTGATCGTTCGAGCTTCACACTTGACGCAAATAATTCCCAGTGACTGAATAAACGACCTATACATTTAGCGTGAATTTCATTGTGAACCTATAATGCATGGAAAGTCTTCCATTTCCCTCATTTCAACGCCCTCCTACCCTTCCCTCTCGGTCGGCTAAAGTTCCCAGCGTCCATAACTTGAAACGAATTTTTGCTTCAGCGAACTTTGCGTGGCTGGCAGATTGACGATCCGCGGGGACGGACGGCGCCTCTGGTAACCGTCGTGAGAATAATGATGGATACCATCTGGCAGCTGGCTGGTAATGATGGATACCATCTGGCAGCTGGCTGGTAATGATGGATACCATCTGGCAGCTGGCTGGTAATGATGGATACCATCTGGCACCTGGCTGGTAATGATGGATACCAGCTGGCAGCTGGCTGGTAATGATGGATACCATCGGGCAGGTGGCGTATATATGCCCATCAAAAAGCTACTTAGTTACATGATTGAAGCGCCTCTGTCTTGGTCGCCCAGTGGTTGGCCTCCAGACTGTGTTGGTCTGCTGTGTCTGCCTCCATATGGTCTGTTGGAGCGTCATCGTTGTCTACTGCCTCCAAGTGTCATCAGTCTGCCTTAAAACAGCTTCAAATCCTCATTGGCCATTAATCTGCCTTAAAACAGCTTCAAATCCTCATTGGCCATTAATCTGCCTTAAAACAGCTTCAAATCCTCATTGGCCATTAATCTGCCTTAAAACAGCTTCAAATCCTCATTGGCCATTAATCTGCCTTAAAACAGCTTCANTTAATCTGCCTTAAAACAGCCTCAAATCCTCATCAGCCTGCCTCCAGGCGCCATTAATCCGCCTTAAAACAGCCTTAAATCCTCTTTAGCCTGCCTCCAGGCGCCATTAATCCGCCTTAAAACAGCCTTAAATCCTCTTTAGCCTGCCTCCAGGCGCCATTAATCCGCCTTAAAACAGGCAGCTTCGCGTCATTAATCAGCCTGGCGCGGCCGATATGAGGTATCGCGATTTCACCGCGTGGGAAATAAAGAGAAAAATGTCGCTTGTGATTCGTTGGAGTTGATCGACTCTGGTTTGATTTGAGTTATAATTCTCTTTTTTATGATGATGAAACCTCCAAAGATTTTAGGTATTGTGGATTATTTCGACAGTTTTTACGCTGACGGTATTATGCGTGTAGTTTTTGTCGTGATTTGCTCAGGTTTGAGTCATACTGACTCACTTATTGAGATCAGCACTTTCGACAGAAGTTATTCACGTGTACGAGTCTTCATGACTAAATCTCGTTTTCTTTTATTTGTTAAAATTAATTAGATCAATATTGAAGATTAATCTAACTAACCTAATTATAGGATTTGATTAATTTCAGATTCGATTAATTGCGCGTTGAATTTAATCCGGTGACAAAATTATAACGTCGGATCTTACATAAGAAAAACTTATGGACTTGCATGGATTTATCGACGATTGGTTCTACTTTGCTGATCAACGTTAGTTAGGTGTTTATTGGCCAATAATTGAAACCTGATTTTTTACAGTCGTTTGGTTAGTCATACTTTTTAAACATGCATGCACGAAAATATAACAATACCGCACATGTTACACGCGTTAATCGGTTTTAAAATGTAGGTAGTTAATACAATACGAAAGGACGTATATACCGATCAGATTGTGTAGGCATGAAAATGTCAGCAGAGTATCTATAGATCATTGCCTCGTGTTACAACGATCGATCCAGGCCTGCCTTACCGGACCACAGGATTCTTTTCATAACTTCAGTTCCTCGAACCGCTGGAGTAAATTTCCGATGAATATTATCAATATTTCTTTAAATGATCGTGTGAATCATGTATCTACACACCTCACTAGCTCTGCACTCTCTGACAAGCTCATGAAGAACTAAAACTCATTTAAGCGCTACGGATTCTTTACATGCCATCAAATAAATTACTTATTTTACTGACTTTAAATAATGTTTTTGTGCTCGTGGTAAAAATAAACTATTTGTGCAGACCTGTTTTACGGATTGAGTTGACTCAGTCTTATATTTGAAGGGTTAACTGAACTAAAGCTGAACTGAGGGTACAGAGGGTAGGGTGAGGTTTGAGGGCAGAGTAAGAGAGTGGGGTGAAATGAGGGCACAGAAGGTAGGGTGATGTGTCAGGGCAGAGTAGGAGAGTGGGGTGAAGTGAGGGCACAGAAGGTAGGGTGAGGTGTAAGGGCAGAGTAGGAGAGTGGGGTGAAGTGAGGGCACATAGGGTAGGGTGAGGTGTGAGGGCAGAGTAGGAGAGTGGGTGAAGTGAGGGTACAGAGGGTAGGGTGAGGTGTAAGGGCAGAGTAGGAGAGTGGGGTGAAGTGAGGGCACATAGGGTAGGGTGAGGTGTGAGGGCAGAGTAGGAGAGTGGGTGAAGTGAGGGTACAGAGGGTAGGGTGAGGTGTAAGGGCAGAGTAGGAGAGTGGGGTGAAGTGAGGGCACATAGGGTAGGGTGAGGTGTGAGGGCAGAGTAGGGATGTTAATTAAAGGACTGTATAAGTTGGAATGAAGTGAGAGGAGGAGAGGCTGGGGGGGGGAGAAAGATAGATGAGAAAATATATATATCAGCGAATTAGATTCAGTGAAATATATTATATGTGTCAGTGATGGTGTTTATTTTGTACAGTTAAACTAGTGTTCATCATCAATAATAAAATTAAGAATTATTCTGTCCAATTAAATAAGTGTTTAATCTTTCCAGTTAAATAAGTGTTTGTTGTACAGTAATACATTTCATATGGGTCATTCGGTGTAGTCATGTAACTGGGAGGGATAAAATTTGCTTCAAATGAATTTACTAACAGGTGCATGTTTTCTTCCTTCTTCTGATAGCCGAAATAAATAAGCTTGGCTTTCTATAAAGCTAGTATTAACATAATCTTATTTATCTGCGCCAATAAAGTGGAGTGAGACTTTCAAATTCATGTGGGGAAATTTTCCCGGGCGTAATTTGCGAAAAATTCTACACCATTTATAATTTGTTAATGTGCCACAAATGCTAAAGTTAATGAAAAGGCAAACAATTTCTAAATACGCTACGAACTCTTACTGTTCAGAGGCACTGTTACGAGAATTATTGAATGTGGCCGTAAAATAATTGTCAACTAATTAGCACTAATGTCCATGGGTGCGGTTTTTAATTAGAAGCCCAATTAATGCGGTAATTTAGCGACTTATCGGTTTGGTGTGTAGTGTGTGGTCTGCGTGATGTGCTGTTTGGTCTGATGTGGTCTGTGGTGTGTGGTCTGATGTGGATTTACTCTCACGAATTTACTTGCCTCATATACCCACAATTACCTTCACATACCCACTTACCCTCACGTACCATCTTACCCTCACGTACCATCTTACCCTCACGTACCATCTTACCCTCACGTACCATCTTACCCTCACGTACCATCTTAGCCTCACGTACCATCTTACCCTCACATACTCATTTACCCCCATGAACCCACTTACCCTCTTAACATCACGTACCCTCTTCCCCTCACGTATTTACTTTCCCTCACTTACCCTCACGTACCTACCTTTCCTCAATTACCCAAGTACCCTTACATACCCACTTCCCCTCACATACCCACTTCCCCTTACATACCAACTCCCCCTCACATACCCACTTCCCCTCACATACCCACTTACCCTCACATACCCACTTACCCTCACATACCCACTTACCCTCACATACCCACTTACCCTCACATACCCACTTACCCTCACATACCCACTTACCCTCACATACCCACTTACCCTCACATACCCACTTACCCTCACATACCCACTTACCCTCACATACCCACTTACCCTCACATACCCACTTACCCTCCTGTACCCACTTACCCTCACATACCTACCCACTTACCCTCACGTACCCACTTACCCTCCTATACCCACTTACCATCACATACCCACTTACCCTTACATACCCACTAACCCTCCTATACCCACTTACCCTCACATACCCACTTACCCTCACGTACCCACTTACCCTCCTATACCCACTTACCCTCACATACCCACTTACCCTCACATACCCACTTACCCTCCTGTACCCACTTACCCTCACATACCTACCCACTTACCCTCACGTACCCACTTACCCTCCTATACCCACTTACCCTCACATACCCACTTACCCTCACATACCCACTTACCCTCATATACCCACTTACCCTCATATACCCACTTACCCTCACATACCCACTTACCCTCATATACCCACTTACCCTCACATACCCACTTACCCTCACATACCCACTTACCCTCATATACCCACTTACCCTCATATACCCACTTACCCTCATATACCCACTTACCCTTACATACCCACTTACCCTCATATACCCACTTACCCTCACGTACCCACTTACCCTCACATACCCACTTACCCTCATATACCCACTTACCCTCACATACCCACTTACCCTCATATACCCACTTACCCTCACATACCCACTTACCCTCCTATACCCATTTAACCTCATATACCCAATTCCCCTCACGTACCCACTTACCCTCACGTACCCACTTACCCTCATATACCCACTTACCCTCACGTACCCACTTACCCTCACGTACCCACATTTACCCACTTACCCTCACGTACCCACGTACCCTCACGCACCCACTTCCCCTCAGAGTAACCCTCACGTACCCACTTCCCCTCACGTACCCACTTACCCTCACTCCCCCACTTACCCTCTGTGCGCAGGTGTACCGCGAGCTGTTCGCGCCCCTGCACGTGCCGCGTGCCCAGTACAAGCGCGCGCTGGACGCCATGAAGGTCGTGCGCCACGTGCGCTTCCAGGAGATCTTCGCGCAGGAGAAAATCACGCGCGTCGACTCCCTCTCCCTAGTGCTCTCCGGCAGGTGGGGGCACTTGGGGTTCGTACCCTGGCTGGTGGGGCACTTGGGGCACGTACACTGGCAGGTGGGGCACTTAATTGGGGCACGTACCCTGGCAGGTACGTGGGGCACGTACCCTGGCAGGTGTGGCACATGGGGCACGTACCCTGGCAGGTGGGGGCACAAGCCTCAGTAAGGTGGGGCACATATGTCGGACGGCCATATTAAGCATATTTTTTATACCTGAGGACGTTGATTCGTTGACTAAGTGTGTGAAGGATAAGTAAGACACCATCGGTCTAGAGAACTCATCTTGATATGGGGTGGTAATACATGAGAGTTTTATTATATTGTTATAAGGCTAAGACGTCGACCGTTAGGTCGGAGTAGCTCGAACGCGAGTTACATTGCGGCGTACTTGTCAGTTACTGGGGGACCTTACTAAGGTCCAGCCCATTTATAGACAGCGTCCCTCCGTTCATCGGGTTCATGTCCTTATGACCTTATGATGAGTTAAGGGCTTCGTAGTCCAAGGTCAAGCTGATGCTCCACCTTCGTCGTCCTCCGTTTCCAAGTCGTCGATAGGCAAGTCACCCCGCCCTTGGGTCCCGTATAACAAATGTCTCCCAATCCTCGTGACACATATGCTGTATAAGCTGTCGACTCAGCGTCTAGGCAAGCTATCAGAGACATGCACTGTGGACTCGTAGCTAACTAGGTCTTCTGGTCTGCTGGTAAACACGGGAGGACTTTTATCCACAAACATATCTCGAGCACATACCTTGGCTTTTGGGGTACTTGGGGTAGGCATTTAATGCATTCAGTTAAACCTCATGCTATCAAAAAACTTTCATTACATGATAGTGAATACAGTGAAGTGTAAAACTTAGTGAAATAATTTGGTGAGGCAATAATAGAAAATATTTTCCAGGTAAGCCCATCGTTGTCCTGGATTGATAATTCCTGAAAATTTCGAATCCTGTTATCAAAAAAACTGGTCATGTCAATAATCCTTAATCCCGTTGATAATAATAAAGCTTGTGTATTTTAATTATCTTAAGACTCTTTCAAACCCACATTTTCCAGAATAGACAGGAATCGCATGGTACTCCCGTTTCAAAATCTTAGATATATATACCGATTGCAAAATCGACTTATAATTTTTTTATCTAATCCTTTCCTCCAATCCCATCTTATTCTCCTGCGCTAAAAATAGAATTTCAGGTTCAGGTAATATCCGACACAATAAGTATCCTGGATAAGTAGCGGTGCTAGGCTTCAAACACACTAACTAACTTTGATTACTATATGTAATATATCAGTAATTAATTAAATGCGTTGCACGTCATGGACTTATTTTCAAGGCCTAATCTAGTACGGTAACTATTTATTTTCAAGCGATGAAGGTACCTCACAATTGACGCGGCCTTCGGGCGGATGTTGCGGTGCTGATCTTTACTCAAAGAAATGAGTGACACATTGCCTCATTCTAACCCGAATAAGTGTTTGGCCCAGTTATATCCTTGTTTGTGCGACGAGCATTCAGCGAACGCAGCGACCCCGAAACTCCACGGGGGCCGCCGCCGCTTTCAGACGAAGTTAGGACACTGAAGTATGGGTCTGGGGGCTGGTCTGTTGGTCAGGGTCTGGGGGCTGGTCTGTTGGTCAGGGTCTGGGGGCTTGGTCTATTTGTCAGGGCCTGGGGACTGGTCTGTTGGTCAGGGTCTGGGGACTGGTCTGTTGGTCAGGGTCTGGGGGCTGGTCTATTTGTCAGGGTCTGGGGGCTGGTCTATTTGTCAGGGTCTGGGGACTGGTCTGTTGGTCAGGGTCTGGGGACTGGTCTGTTGGTCAGGGTCTGGGGGCTGGTCTATTGGTCAGTGTCTGGGGGCTGGTCTGTTGGTCAGGGTCTGGAACTGACGACATGCAGTTAAAAATACTCCTTACCCTGAAAACCGAGGTTACTACTGCAATCTGTTTACTTCGAAAATAAGAAGTTTAATTCTAAAAATTATAGAGCAAATCCTAAAATCTATTTACCATGTAATTTAGGGGGTTTCTTCTAGAATCCTAAGGTAGCTAGCTCGTGCTATTTATTCAGAAAAATATAGTGGTTACTCCTGGATTCTGTTTACCCAAGGAAACATGGAGTTACTCCGGTAATCCGTTTACACTGACAATCCCATGTACATCAAACCCTAACGAGGCACACCTGTCCTGAGCGTCTCCTTTGATTAATTAATTAAGCTAGAGGCAGCTGGGAATTACACGGTGCAGGTGCTGTTGTAATTATAATTATGCTTCAATATTTGTTTCATAAGACTTCATTTCGTCTTTAATTAAGTTATTACATCTAGTAACTAGTTCGAAATAGGGTGATATAAATTGATCACTATCTTGAGTGCGGTAGTTCATTGACGGATTATTTTTCGAATTTACTATCATATCTGTCGATGATTTTTCTCGCATAAAGAAAGAATTATAATTTATTTAATTCAAGTAGGTATATAAATAAGAAATTGTATTAGTTACTTTTGGAAAAGTCGGACAAATTTATGGTGTCATGCCAGATCTTTTGCCATTTATAGACCTCATTTAATTTCTATTTCGGACGTCAAGTTCATTTCTTCTGCCGAACCATTAATAATCTACGATCGCGACCTCGACCATCACATCTCAAATCTTCCTCCGTGCAAAAATCACGGGCGTTTTGAGGTTGAATCACCGACGAAATGCCGCCACAGAGAAACCATAAATTAGCACAAACTTATACGACGATATCCTTGCAAGAATTATAGTCAAATTATGGCTAATATACATATAATAGATGAGACATCGATATATTATTCCATATTATCTCTTATTTTAAATTTAATATGAACTTTCAATTCAGTGACGTGTGGCGGCTGACACGTAATTCAGTTGCCGACATCGGCTTGTCTGTTAGGGAAATGTGGATCGTGGATGCCGTAGAGTTTATCGCCCCGCGTAGCTGCGTTTATTGAGGCGCTAAATTGGATTCTCTTCGACCTGAAGCATTCACATTGAAATAAACGACGACAATCTCGCCGGGACCTGAGGTAGCGCGACTATTTTTGTGATATCAAGGCTTTATTTTTACGATATTGTTGCGGGAAAGCGATGAAGCTTTGTGATGCAGGTGCGGTATTGTGCGTGGTAGTTTGGATACGAAATGGAGCTAGACTTGGTTAACTAGAATGCTTCGACTTGACAGACCCTGACCAAATGCTGTCGTCACTCGTCACTAGACCGCCGTCACTCGTCACTAGACCTCCGTCACTCGTCACTAGACCGCCGTCACTCGTCACTAGACCGCCGTCACTCGTTACTGGACCGCCGTCACTCGTCACTAGACCCCCGTCACTCGTCACTAGACCGCCGTCACTCGTCACTAGACCCCCGTCACTCGTCACTAGACCGCCGTCACTCGTCACTAGACCCTCGTCACTCGTCACTAGACCGCCGTCACTCGTTACTAGACCGCCGTCACTCGTCACTAGACCGCCGTCACTCGTCACTAAACCTCCGTCACTCGTCGCTAGACCTCCGTCACTCGACTAGACCCCCGTCACTCGCCACTAGACCTCCGTCACTCGTCACTAGACCGCCCTCACTCGCCACTAGACCGCCGTCACTCGCCACTAGACCTCCGCCTCTGGAATTGGCTACGTTCCAATACCCGCGTCGCTGGGATGTTCAAGTCAGATCCAAACTCCACTCTAATGTCGACCATTCCTGAATGGTGACAAAAATTCAACGATTCGAAACTTGAAATCATGCAATTCCGTACATTTATTCTATTTAGTATTAAGTGAGAATTTGGTACATTATGATATAATGATACCGTAATTAATTACTCGCTTTTTGTAATCGTGAGGTAAAATTTATTCTCGGGTATATTGCTTGATGTAATTTGTTAATTTGTGGGTGAATATTTCATTTGTTAGGCTGGGTCACATAATTCATACTAATATCTCAAAACACTTAGAATATTTTAAATTATGTTGTTGCATTACAACATTTTTTTAATTTGCTGATTATAGCGCAGAGCTCACCTTGCCAATAAAGTCACTAGAGTGCAGAGCTCACACTGTTGAAGTAAGGTCATCATAAACTGATGATGAGTTTAGAACTTCTAGTCTCCGGTCACGCTGATGTGCCGCCTTCGTCGTCCTCCGTCTCCGAGTCGTCGCTAGGCTGGTCACCCCGCCCTCTGGTCCCGGATATAGCATTGGACGTGTTCCGTCTATTTGCCCTAATTTGGGCCAGCTGATGCAAGATGCTGTTGCTTGTCACTTGCTGAGGGTAGTTTCCCATCACTGGACAATCCGGGATCTTTCTCAGCCACTTGTCCAGTCGTCTCTTGAATGTCGCAAAGGTAAACTCCCCTCCTCTCAGCATCTTTGGCAAGGCATTAAACAGCCTCGGTCTTGCCGCGGACAGTGATCCTTCACGAAGAGTTTGTACTCTGGCCGCAGCTCGGTTATTAAATGGAGGAATCCTTCACAGTCTCCCTATCCTTTCGTTGTAATATGTCACTATTTTAGAGGTCTCACTCTCAAAGTTGGGAGATAATTCGGTTATCATCGTCCATGTGTACAGTATGATATACCACTCTCTTCTCTTCTCCAGTGAGTACAGTCCCAGGTGTTTCAACCTACCCCTGTAGTTCAGCTCCAGCTCCCTCATACTGCTGATCCTGGACGTGAAGGTTCGCTGGGCTGACTCCAGATTCCGCATCGCGCCCGCCTTGAGCGCTTCTCAAAGCCGCCTGAGGGTCCTGAAGAGGGTATATCGTTGGTGCTGCTTCTCTCGTTCGAAATGTCCGCCAGACCCATCCGTTGTTTCCTTCGCACGACTATTTCCTCGAAGTGGTCATTGAACGTGTCTTCGGTACCCATCAACACTCCGAGATTTCGAACAAGCTGCTTTTCCTCAATTCCTGTGCCATCCGATGGCAAGTAGCTATGTGGCATCCCGGTCTCTGTGCCAGGTCTGTACTCATT